GTTAACATCAGTAAAGTCGTAAAGTAAACGTGTTGGGATTACATTTAAGTAGAGTAAATTGTGAAAGTTGATGATAGTGATTGTAAATAATTAAGTGTATGGTAATTGAATTGTGAATTACGGAGTAAATAAAGGACATTATATTAATTCTTTATAACGAAAGATACTGCAAATTGAATTGGCGAGTTTTTATTTAACAATCCAGAGATCGTATCCGAAGGATTTAGAAAATAATCGAGGTTGATTTAGTAAAATCGTAACAATATGATAAGCCCGCATTAAAAGTACCGCACCGCATTTGTCGTGTCTACGCTGGTCACGGCGTAAGAGGAGCAACATATCGAGTTTGGTTATCAGTAGGGCAATTCTCTATTGTACAAGTTCTCTATTCTCTACATAAATTATAACGTTTTTCGCATTTTTAAAATGAATTAACGATAATTATAACGATTTCGCTATTTTCTAATCATATTATCCGATTTGCGGATCGCAAAGAAGACTTAGCGATATTTTCATCGATATTCGCTATTCTCTAAGAATAGTACAACGATTTTCGGATAGGAAAGAAGACTTTTAACGATATTCGCCATTCTCTGAGAATAGTATAACCATTTGCGTATCGCAAAGAAGACTTAGCGATAACTCTTACGATTTTAATGTTCGGTGTACTTATTTCAACGATGTTCGCTCTCGCTGTTGTCGTAAACTTCTCGAAAAATCGCTAACTCAGCGATGAATATTTCTAAGTTGTTAGCGATATCGTTAAAATTTTGATATACAGAAAGGTCGAAATAAATTAAAGTAAAGAGGGAAATTGCTTAAGTTTTATATAAATGAAAATAAAATAGCTTTTAAGAATTTTCCATACGTTTAAACCCAAGATGAGCAGGTATTGTGCACTTCATAATTGGGTAGAGGTTTGTTTCAGGAAGTTGAATATCGTTTCCACTTAAATGCAACTGAGCTTTTTGATAAACACCTGAAGTGCAGAAAATAACAGCATTATCTACGGAGAAACAGGCAGTATATAGCTTTAAAATATTTTTTCAGTTTTTGCACTATTAAAATGTGTAAAGGTTGTATTCGTCTTGCGATTCTTGGCAACTGGATGCTACCAACGTTCCGTCGGAGAGCAATAAGGAATACCCATAAGTCAGTCGCCAGTGTCCTGCGAAGGTTAAATTTCCCAATACGTCGCTATTTGCTGGAGAAAATATTGGGGCTATCGAATGCGAGGAAGCCTATTTCATTCTTCGTGGATACCTTTCTACCAACGAGCAATTGGTGAGAGTGAATTTTTTCAATTTTTATTGAAGTAACAAAGTTTATTATATTTGTACACAGATATGTGATCCTTATCGCAAGGTTAGAGCGGCAAATGCCAACTACCCAGGAGCGCGGCACAATTATTTTATTAGGAGCTCCTCTAGGGAGCGAGGAGTCGTGCATGAAAATCCAAACCATTACATGCTTTTAATTTCTATAACAAATTTATTTGTTTTTGTCATTCCTCTTTGTATTTTTCGCATATTTTGACGTTTTGTGAAGCTGTGGTGCCACCTTTCCTTCATTTTATTAAAATGGAAATGTGCGTTGTCGATTATCGTGAAAACTGAGTTAGAGAATCACATAATCGTTGGCGCAAGCGACAAAGTTCGGAACTTTGCGATCCGACAAATCGTGTCGATACAAGTTACAAAATTGCATTGTAGGTGTGTTAGAAATAGATGTATGATTAATTTAAATATTGCTTTTGAAAATTTTGCGTCACTTAATTTTACAATTTTCAGACGCTAAGGGCAATTTTTAAAATTTTTATTGATAAAATTTATAATAATAGCATATAGCTTTGTTACATGTTGACAGTTGTAGATTTTAAGCACCAAAAAATTAAGATATAAGCTAAGTTAACAAAATCTGAATATATGTACGTTCAATAGATGCGTTGCGCAATATGTACGTATGTATGATAATAAAAATTTATTTTATCTTTAACATGATAATAATATAATTGTTTATTTTAGAAGATACAAAATATGAGTTTTTAATTTTTTAGTCATTTAACTTACGGTCATAGAAAACAAATTGGAAAAGTGTGCTTGCCCATAGTTTAAGGTATAAATAATTTAATGTGTATTATATTGTTACGATTTTGCTAAATCAACCTCGATGATTTTCTGAATCCTTCGGGTACGATCTCTGGATTGTTAAATAAAAATCGCCAACTTAATTTACAGTTTCTTTCGTTATATTGAATTTATCTAATGCCCTTTATTTATTTAGTTATTCACAAGTCAATTACAATGCACTTTACTAGCTATAATCACTTGTATAAAATTTTCACAATCGACTTTACTTAATTGTAATCTCCAACGCGTTTACTTCACGAATTTACTGATGTTAACGCCAACAAGTTCACTTTGTTACTGACTTGACTTGGCAGCTGAGTGACGCCCTTATATAGCAGTCGGCTGCTAATAGACGAAAGTGTAGAAAATCGAATTGTTCGTTAACGACGGTTCCCGTTTTATCTTTCTAGAATGTACTTGTTATCGGCTTCTCTCTTTCATCTGACATTCGCCTCGCATTTTCGCAACAGAATTTTTGTAAGCAGTATACACGCTCGTCCGAGGTCGTACAGCGTATTTCCACCAAGTACCCAAATACATTTAAGGCCTCTGTTAAGTGAATGAAATGTCAAACGTTTACACCGAAAGTGAGTTAACTCAAACAGCTGATTTTTGTTCACATTTGAAACTTGTAAAATTTGTCATAAGAATTGAAATCATGAATTCAAAAGACCGCATTCATTTCATTTTCTATTTATACAATATTATGAATTCCAAGTGCAGATTATTGCTGCACGAGCAGACGCTGCTGATCCGAAAGTGCTTTTTTGCATGCTTACAATTTTTTGGAGATGGCACGCAGTTTGCTTTCACTTCTAACAGAATATAGGGCAAAAAAAAGTCCACTTAATTGAAGAAAGTTATGTACATATGATTAGTATTAACTGTATTATTTTAATGGTATCCCTTAGGAACGAACGAGATTATTTTGGGAAAAGGAATGCCAAGAATGTAGCGCTTTAGATTTCAAGAACATCTTCCGCTTGGGAAGGCGGTCCTTCTTCGAATTTCTTGAAAAGCATGTCGCTATTGCGCTATGTGCACTTGGTACCTCTGCATAGTACTGAACGGGTACAAGTTTGTTCGGTGTGTCCAATTCTAGCGTATGCAGAATTGTTAGAGAATTTTGTGCTGCGGTTTGGAATGCTTTGAAACCTAATTATCCTAATTATTTTCCACTAACTGAGACAGTGGCTCAGACTATTGTAAATGATTTTAACAAAATGGGATTTCCACAATGTATGGAAGTGTTAAGTATGATGAGATGATTGCAAATAATATTGAGATTTATATTAATATAAATGTGTATATGTACATAAATAAAATTAGATGGATGTCATATTGAAGTCAAATTAAAGCAAGAGGACGCTGTGGACTACTATAACTATAAAGGATGGTATTCTGTGGTACTGTTGGCTTTAGTTGACACAAGGTTGGCAAATTTTTAAATTACTTAAGTAATAAAATAGATTTCAATTTGTATGTAGGTATACGTTTCTTTATACAAATAATGGAGGTACAGGAAGATGAAATGACTCTGGAATTAATGAAAGTTCCTCATTAAAAGCAGAAATATTGCGTTGCAAATTGCTTTATGATCTACGGAAATCTTTTAACAATGTGGAAATCCCATTAGTTCTTATATCAGACTCAGCTTTTCGTTTGTCGCGCAACGTTCTTTCCATTTAATGTGGAAAGTACACCTGCACAACGCGAATTTGATTACCATCTTTCTCGTTGCCGCAGGGTTGTTGAAAATGCATTTGGGCATTTGAAGGTCAAATTTCGAAAAGGGTTGGATAATCGTATCGATAATACAAACGCTTTAATAAATGCTTGCTGCGTACTCCACAATTTTTTGATTTCACAGAGAAATTATATTACCGACACCTGGCTTCCTGATGCTGGCTCCATGACTGAAGAGCAAAGTAGAGTTGTTCCACTGAACGAAAGAAGATTTAACCTTGGAGACTGCTACCGCAATGCATTAAGCCAACATTTTGCCAAAAATGGCTTGTTTCGCACATTGCAGCAAGGCTTTCTGTTTTTCTCTTGCCGTTTCCTCCTGCAAATTTGCTGTAGCCAGGTTTTGCTGCCAGCTCGAGCGCGTATGTTGCGCTGAGCGTGACGTTAATTGCTGCTCGCTATCCACTAAATTATAATACGAAATACATATTAAAATATGAAATCAGAGTTAATGATTTTGGTAGAAAAATACATACAATTGAAACTTTCCTCCACAACACCCTCCACATTCATCGAACGGTAGCCGCCAACAATTTTAGCCATTTTTTCAAATAAAGGCCCTGTTGTCAGCGATGCGGTCCCATTTCTGCTTTCCCCTTTCGGCATACACAGGATCACAAGCAAAACAACTTATAGGTTAATATTTAATATACTTATTACAGCAACTTACTTGTATTTGGACAGCAAGTTCTGCATTTTGAATTTGACTCAATGCCAGTGACTTCAATCCCCGACTGCGTTAACTCCACCGCCATTTCTTTATATACATTAGAGTTTTTTCGGTAACTTCTCAATTCCTGAGCTCTTCCTTCCCAGCAATCCAGGAAACTTTACTCCTCCGTAAGGTCTCGCTTGCGCCGTTTTGTTTCCATTTTCAGTTTTGTTTACTCTTACTTTTTTATCGCAATCAGCTAATAGCTGCCAGAGCAACATATATATTTATGTTGTGGGGATCGTTTGATATTTCACAATTGCTTTTTGTTTGTTTATTGTAGTTTTTCTTTTTTTTTTGAAGGAGGAGAAGAATTCTTTTCGCCAATTACTTAATATATGCATTTATGTTAAAACTGATGCAAAAAAGTGATTTCTAAAAAAACATGCAAAATAAAAGTCACGCCCCTCATTAAATCCTAAAATACACGACTCTGGCAAGAAATACACCGAAACTTCTGAAATGATTACATTAGTAGTGACAGCATAGACTGTTAACAAAACATTTTCTGTTAAAATGCCGAATATGCTTTTGTATAACAGCAAACACATGGATATTACCGCATTTAAATACATTTAACGTTCGGTGGAAATAGGCTATTACATCGAATACTTATTACTCATCTATATATAGTCGGAATACTTTTTTATCGACGAAACACGACGAAAGTTTATTTAATTTGGCTTTTCATCCATTAGTTTCTTAAACGAAATTTCCCTTTTTAGCTAAAATTTTACACTTTTATTACGCAAGTACCTATTTGCAAATAGCAATTTTGTATGAAGAGTTCTTATTTGATTAATTGTTTAATTTTAAGCAAATAATATGAGTTTTAAAAGCCAGTTTATTTTTTTATCTTTTGCTTCATTGAATTTTATTAAAAAAAAAATCAAATTTTCGTGGAAAATTTACACGTTTGTTATACATGTACTTATACTTGTACTAGACTATTCATTTTTGAATGTATGCAAATAACAATGTTTTTTGTTTATGTTATGTTTTGTCATCGTTATCTATATCAAAAACAATTTATTTCTTTTAAAGAAGCGCTTTAAGAAAAACTGCTTTAGTACAAATTTGTCAATTGGACCAACGTGAGCACTTTCCGCTACAGCAGCTTGACCACCAAAAAACAGTTTGGCCAGTTTCCGAAAAGAGGTGATTCTCGGTCGTTTTGAATGAGGACAAGCTGTTCACATCTTTAATAAAAATGGTAAGAAAATAAGATAAACGTATTTTTTATATGAATGTGTATACTTACATACATATCGTGGGCGGTTTAAGCATGTTGAAAATAAACATCTAACATAAAACCATTTGTATGGTTATTTTAACATACACGACTCTGCTAAAATAACAAAACAAACGCTTTTAGATTAGAGTTTCCATACAGATTTTTTAACATTACTTACCAGAGAATTTAAGCTAACTTTTAGTATTAACATAGTGTTAAAGATTTATATGTCAGCATATATCACATGCATTTCGGACGTAACCAAATTTTTTAACAAGCAATATATTTTCAGCTCATTCCTTTAATTTCATTTTTATTTTTTGTCGGATGTCATAAATTATAACCTATCAGCGGCTGAAGTTTTTGCTGAATTTCGGGAAGCTTGCAAAATATAATATAAGAATGGCCGAAAATTCCAAAAAATGAAGCACGCTTCGAATATGCTTTTGTAATAAGTTTTCTCAGTTGACCATATGACAGCTTTATTAAAAAAATATATATATTAAATATATATGAATTTAAATTAAATAGTAGTAGTTGCGAAAAAAATTGATAATTGTAAAAATGTGTTGGCGGCCGCTGCATCTGAGCATTGCGTACTGACACTCGGAAGGCTCTGGTTCATATCCGGGTGCCACCAACATGCAAAAGTAATGGAAAACTAATTTAGCAAAAATATAAGACGCAAAACCACAAATTCGAGGAGGAGCTCGACCAAAAAATCACTTATTGTAGACACATCGTTGTGTATAGGAAAACAGATTGTGATTCAATTTCTATATCCAGTTCTTAAGTAATGTGCAAACTCCATTTATTCAAAAGCACTTAAGTCCATGGTTAAGAAATTTTTTGCTCTCATGTGAACTTTCAATGGTATGCTACACTGATGTGGTAACCCGTGCTATCTTGATAAAATGTACATTTCAACAAATATTTTATAATGAAAACAAGTAAAAAATGTAATTGTTGCCATTCACGGGGAGAGTCCCTGAAGGTGTTGAGTTACTCTTGGAGAGTGTCCTTTAAATCTATGATGTGCCTGGATGGAGGGTCAGCCCCTATAAAATTGAAGAGCACTCAGGTATCTCATGATCTACGTCTTTAATCCAGGCGGTAATGAGGATTCTTCAATGTCCGATAGTAGCGCTGAATGTTTGACAGTGTCAAAAGATCTTAACAAATCCAGTGCTTCCAAGACAGCTCGCGCACAGGGCCGGCTAAAGCTATTGACTATCTGAGTGCTTTTGACTTTCTTGTGGTGCTGGACTCCGCTGGACTTGGAGGCTTTTGCCTTCCCGCTGACCCCCTCTACCTCTTCCCTGTAGAATGCATACTTCGCTTTTTTGGGTATAAAGTCATTATAAGTAATCTTTAGAAAGTATATACCATTGTTTACTTGACAATGAACTGAAGAGCCAGATATAGGCCTTTATCGAATAATAAACAAATATTCGTTACAGTACACAGATCTTTTTTTCTTAAAATGCATAAAGTCAACGCTTTCTCTCGTCATACAGTAAATCAGTCAGCAGGGTCACGTCTCAATTTGAGACTATTTAGAATTCACTAAGCAGCTATGAGTCACTAATGTCACCAAAATAAAAAAATTTGAGATCTGGCAATTAGCAGGTCACAAAAATCAAAATAAACTTTACATTGCTATTTATTTTTGTAATGTTGACATAATTGTCGTAGAAATTAAGAGAATGGAAGAGGAAATTACTACTATAAAAAACAAACACTGTAAATACGGAAATGAACAATCATTTTAATTAGAAACATCCGCAGAAAAAATTGGCCAGATGTTATTGAAAGGGATAAAAAGCAACGTACAGCAAGGGGCTGCATTGTATTGGGTATATTGATGGTCCTGAATTGAAACATGCGAAGCGGCCGGGGGTTAATCACACAATTAAATAATGCGTGTATGCTGCATTTCTACTCGGGTTAAGCCTACAAGCATAGATGTCAAATATTCTACTCGATGTGAGTTCAGAATGAAACTAATATTATGGCAACCAAACCCAACTTTGTTAAATTTTGGTAAAATTTTAGGTAAATAATTGAATTTTTGGCAAAAAGTTAGCAACACCAAAGCAATATCAATCAGTAAACCAAGAAAAAATGATGGGAAGAGAAGTGCAACTGTTAATAATATTCGTTAAATTCGAGTACGTACAGTACACGTATGAATGGAGAGAAGCACGTAAACATATTGTAACGATTTTGCTAAATAAACCTCGATGATTTCCTGAACCCTTCGGGTACGATCTCTGGATTGTTAAATAAAAATGTTGTCGCAAACGAGTTCACTTTGTAACTGATTTCTTGGCAGCTGAGTGTCGCCCTTATATAGCGGTCGGCTGCTCGTAGACGAAAGTGTAGAATAATCGAGTTGTTCACTATCGAAGGTTATGTTTTATCGTTCTAGAATGTACTAGTTATCGGCTTCTCTCTTTCATTTGACATTCGCCTCGCATTTTCGCAACACTGCCCTCCACCTAAGTCTGATCGTCCCGATCAGATACATTCACTGTTCCAAGCTCAGCAAGCCTCTCAAGGTGGACTACTTTCATCTTGTTTATTGGACTCCCAACGGTTTGGTTTCGATACACTACGTTGTTTAGTCCTTTGATTATCTTGTTTGGACCTTCCCAATTACATTGAAGATTTGGGGACAAACCCCTCTTCCGTTGTTAATTGTACAGCAACACCAAATCTCCATTTTGGAATCTTTCGGAGTTCATCGCCTTGTCATACCTATCCTTAATTATGTCACTCATAATTTGAGTTCGCTGTCTCACAAGAGCATGCACCTCTCTTAGCTCTTCCTCGAGATTGTTAGACGTTACCTTCCCAATTCTTCTCGCATCGCCCGTTGTTCCAAATTTTAAATCGCTGGGCAACCGTTTTTCACTACCAAACAGTATCCTAGCGGGTGTTTGCCCTGTAGTTACATGCACGGCGGACCGATATCCCATCAAAAAAAGCGGTATATGCACATCCCAATCATCCTGATGCTTGTCCACTACTTTTCGCAAGTGCTCTTCCAGGGTCCGGTTGAATCGCTCTACCATACCATCTGATTGAGGATGTAGGGCTGTCGTTCGGGTTTTTCGAATATCAAGTATTTGGCACATCTCCTGGAACATCGCCGATTCAAAGTTTTTTTCCTGATCTGAGTGCAATTCTATAGATGCACCGTATCTGGTAACCCAATTTTTAGTTAATGCAGCCGCAACCGTTTCGCTTCTTGGTTTGGGATTGGGTAAACTTCAGGCCATTTACTGAAATAGTCCATAACCACGAGAACGTATTTGTTTCCTTGTTTGCTCATAGGGAATGGACCGGCTACATCCATGGCCACCCGCTCAAATGGTGCCCCTGCGTTATACTGCTTCATCTGCCCATGACTTCGGGACTTTGGGCCTTTAGCTGCTATGCACTCCGTGCAATTAGCAATCCACTCCGCGACCGATTGCTGACAGTCAACCCAATAGAATCGATGCTTGATCTCTTCCAGCGTTTTTGTAATGCGTAGGTGCCCTCCACTAGGACCGTTATGGAATTCCTTAAGAACATCCGGAATTCTTAACTTCGGAACTACTATAAGCTTCCGGGAGCACTGGCCATCTTCATTTTCCCACACTCTATGCTGTTCCTATGTGCCCAGTATGCCTTCGCGATAGGACTTTCCGTCGTCTATTTCCCTCCAACCTGTGTATTAATAATTGTAAATCTGGATCTTCATGCTGACATTTCTTTAAGTTAATTGCCTCCCACTTTTCTGCTTGCGTAACTTTCATTAGCCGGACATCTATTATGTCTTCTTTACCCTCAGCTTTTGATCAATGCTTCCATTCCATATTCCATGGTCGATGGGACATATCGTCAGCATTTCCGGGCGTATTCCCCTTGCGGTGCTCGATTGTGAAGTCATAACTTTGCAGCCTCTCAATCCACCGTGGTAGCTGCCCTTCGGGGTTCTTGAACTGTAGTAGCCACTTCAGCGCTGCATGACCTGTTCTAACTCGGAAATG